TGTTATCAGTGCACCCTTGAGAGACTTCTTCACTCTGTTTATGGGTGTTCAGCCAATGCCAGCAGTATTTATTGGGACCTTTTATCGTGCTATCTATGCTTTGCACAGATTCAAGAGTTCCACGACCTCTTTCACAAGCACTACTAAAAGGGAAAACTCCTTCAGTAAAGATTAGAATCAGATATGAAAGGGAATTAAAACAATATGATGTCATTTATCACTGCAGAGACTGTGCTAGTGTGACATGAGTTTGTGTGTCTTGCTTTTTTTTGGCACCTTTTGACTAAAGATTTGGGTTCATTACTTTGTTAGCGTTCATTTTGCTCTTCAGCCAATATAACAAACTAATCCTTTTCATTAAATTATTTTTTAAAAATGGCTGTAAATCAAAAACACGACAGGTATTTTCTATCTTATTACAATAGTTTTATTGCTCTGGTTTAGTTTAACGAACAATTTAAGTTATTGCAGAGATGTTTTCTTCTCACCAACAAGCTTTTCTCTGGGAAATGATCCTTTTTAGTGCCAAACTACTGCACTGGTGCATTGGAATATTTGCAGATTTTATCCAAATGTATTGGTTTCCATATGCAATGTCTTGGTTTGACCAGTCAGTACCAGGTGTGTTCTTTTTTTAAAGATTTATTTTTGGTTCTTTTTGCTGCTGTACAGATTTTTTTGTAAAATGAACACAAGGTATTTTTGTACCATTTATTTGACAAAAAAAAGAAAAAAGTAATGCACCTTCATTTGATTCTGCGCTTTTCTTGACACTCATACATCACTTATATTCATTATTAGCTCTTTACTTTGGGGTTTTTTTAAACTGGATAACAAGATGACACCACATTTGGTTATTATTAAATTTTTTTTAAGTAAGTAAAAGTTAAATATCTGTGTTAGGATGACTCTTAACTGCTCCGAATCAGCACGCAGAGTCGTCTCTTAAGTCAAAGCAATGTTTCACTTAAAGAGTCTGAACATTTAAGCAGGCATACAGTCGTCCTCAAACCTATTCATACTCTTCCATTAAAGGCAGAATTCACAACAGTCACTCAAATAACTAGAAACTGAAAAAAGTACTGATAAATAAAAATTTGCTAAATTAAAATTTAGTGAAATAAGACATTGCTTTTGAATTGTGGATGAAAAGAATAATTTAAAAAAACAAAACTGTCCAAACGCGAGCACTAATCCAAATAGCTGCCAACAGGTGCAGAAGTCTGACTGAGAGTTACAGAAAACACCTGATTGCAGTGATTGGCTCAAAGGGTTGTTCAACGAAATGTTAGTTCACAAGTCCCATCATGCTTGTTTTCTTGATTTTTTTTAAATTTATTTTTTATATTGCTGTTGAACCACAATTCAAAAGCGATGTCATGATTTTCATTAAATTTTTATTTGTTATTACTTTTGTCAATTTCAACCTATTTCAGTGACAGCTGTTTCTTTCCTTCTTTAATGGGAGGGTATGAATAAATTTGAGGACGACTGTACAAAAGAACATCAGAGTCATGAAACGTTGCATTTATACAGGCATACAGAAGATTTCTCCTCTGCTCACATCTGCTGAGCTCTTCATGCACCCAGACTCGCAGTGTGGGTTCGGTTACTTTTTTGCAAGTTCTGTGCACGACGCTATCTTTCAAAGCCTTCTGGACTTCATCAGTGGACAAAGACTAATAAATCATCACATATAACATTAATTTTTTATAACAATCTGTCACATTTCTGCCCCTTAACAGAAGCTTTTGTATTAAAAAAATAAGTTTTGTATTAAGTTTGTCATTAGTTCACTTTCGACTACTGAATAAATCTGTTTAGGACACCGAAAACAAAGTGTTTCACAAGCTCATAGTTTATAAAGAGAGAAAGAAAATCCAATATTATTTGCAAAAAGATCCCAATTGTACAATTTTTTGACAAAATGCAGCTTCTGTCCTTTTCCAAATGGTCCTCATAATCTCAAAAGTCACAAAAAAGTCATTAAAACATAAAAATAGTTAACATTTATTACTAATATCCTGCCAGAAGAAACCTTTTGGTTGAACAAAACTTCACTGTAGGTCTGAATTTGGCTTTGAATCATTTGTATAACGCAGAACGAACACAATGTTTAATTAGTCGACCGTCACCATCTTCAGGCCAGAATGAGTTATTACAACTCAAGCACATGAACTTTAGAGGGACAATCTGCTGTAATTAATAATTTACTTCACAATTCTGTGAAATGTATGTTTTTTAGGTTAGTATCTGTTCAGGCAAGTGTCTCCTGAAGCTGGAAATCAGATCAGAGCATTCAAACTTGTCTTTTTATCTGGTAAAACCGTTTAAAAATCAAATAAATGTCCCCATCTTTCATTCATTTGAAGATTTTCGTCAGTGGCCGATTCAGCTTTTCACTGGGTTTGACCTGACTCTACTTTACAGATTATAACAGGACACAGTGTTCATTATAGCAAAGGTTCAGTACAAAGCTTTGGAGGCTACACGGTTTCTGTTCCTGTTTTCTTTAAAATGAAGAAACATTAAATAAGAAACAAACTTTTATTTAAAAAAAAAAAAAAGTGTTTCAATGAACTGGAATAAAGCTTTGCTCCTCCATATTTGCTCATTAGATATTTTCAGTTCCTTATAGGACAGACTCTGCACGGTTCCCTTTTTATTGGTTTTAAAGAACTGAGATGATGATGACAAGGTCCATTTAAAAAAAACTGAAAAAAGCGGGTTTCATTTTTCTCCGTTTGGAAGACAAGAGGTTTAATTTCTTCAATACCACATCATTCTTAATGGCCTTCGTGTTAATTACAAACACGATGCTGTCTCTTGTGAGAAGAATGAGTCAGAGTTTTGTTGGCAGCCGGTCCAGACAGTGGAAGAACAGACGATCAATAGTCTGATTCACTGTAAACCAGCACTATTTACTCAGATAAGACACACTTCAGGTATTGTACATACCTGGGTGTGCCACCAGGTGGAGCCTCTTAGTTTTGAGGGTGTTTAACTCCTAAAAGGGCACCAATACAAAGTCTACTGTCATGATTAATGATCTCCACACGTTGCAATGAGCAAAGAAAGCATCTTACTATTGCAACAAAATCAGTATAGTATAAAAATAATAAAAAGATCAAATGCATTAAATTTGCATTATAGATTCATTGCTTGTTGATTGATAATGTTCCATTATTTTGATTCAGTGTGCAAATCAGTGTAAAGTAAACACAGGTAAACAAAAGATTGGGCTTTATACCAAATCTGTATTTTTAGTAGGAAACATACATATACAGTACATTACACTTTTTTTTTTAAACCATACTTAAAGGCGAATAATTCAAAACTACTCCTCTGCTTGAGCCTTTTTATTATGAGTTGGATTTGCTCTTGAACAATTTTGTCCATGTCCACACCAAATTTCGAGGCTGTGGGAGTTTTATTTCTGGAGATATCGAACCTTTAAAAGGGCTTTTCAGGTAAGAGTGGGATTTTTCAAGGTAAAAATACAATTTTTAAGACATTTCAGTGTGAAAATGAATGTGATAGCAGATGTATATACAAGCAAACAGAGGGTCAGGCTTAGATTTGTATCAAAACCAAATCTGTTTTTTCAGTAGAAAATATGGATGCATCCATATATATACATTTTAGGGACTTTCTGGAGTCACAATATCACAGTTTTTTCCCATTTAAAAGCACTGACAGTTAAAAATTTGGCCTCTTTTTAAACCATTTTAAGATATGGATCTACTTAAAACAATTCTGTCTGTGTCCTCAGCAAATTTCATGGCTGTGAAAGTTTTATTTCTGGAGATATTGAACCATTAATATGTCTTGCTAGGTAAGATGAGGATTTCTTTGTGGCGACAATACAAAAATGTTAAAAATTCAGTGTGACAGCAGACATAAACCGAGGTAAACAAAAGCTCAGGTTTACATTTGTGCCAAAACCAAACCTGTATTTTAAGTATGGATGGATCCATATGTATACACATTAAAAGGAACTTTTTAGGGACACAATATGATTTTTGTTAGAAAACTTTGCACTTTCTTTCTTCTGTGGGGATCGATAATTACTCATTTGTCTTCTGCTTGAACCATTTTTTTATTTGTATTTTTTTGGGGTGGTCTGCTAGAAACAAAAGCAAATTCCACTGGTGTGTTTATATTTCTGGAGATATTAAATGATTAAAAAGGCTTAACAGGTCAAAGTGTTTTGTTTTTTTATTGTGAAAACACATAAATTCTCAATTGAAAATCTCAAAATTCAGTCAAAAATATTTTACAAAGTTTAGTTGTGGCTCGTAAATAACAATATATAAATACATAAATAAATAAATTAAATTAAATAAATAAAATAAAATAAAACAAAATAAAATAAAATAAAATAAAATAAAATAAAATAAAATAAATGACCCTGGCTAACCCAATCAGAAGCTTCCCAGACTGCGCTTCCTGTGGCGCCCAGTGCGCATGTTTGCGGAGAATCAGGAAGCGTCTGGCGGTGAACATGGAGCTGAGCGATGAGACGAGCCGCCTTCATTCAGCAGGAAGCGGCGCGGAGTCATGACGGCGGAGGAGGAGAGCTGAGGAGCCGAGCAGAGACCCTCAGCAGGTTGGTCTCCTCAACTTATTCATTCATCTTCTGCAGTTTCACTTTGACTTTAAGTCGCGTTTACGGAGAAAAGTCGAGAAGCTTCTACCTGCGCAGCGCGTGACACATAACGGCAATAAATCAGATTGAGAGATTAAAAACAAACAAACAAACAACAAACTAAAGCTAAAAAACTCGCATGTTCTTCAGGTTTAACTGCAGAAATATGATTAAAAAATACTACTGTGTGACATTTATATGCGAACAATAGATGATAATAGAGTGACAGTGATATTATTATCTGATGTAGGTTCTATAACGGTGGATATTTAAAAGGGAAGTCAGGTTATAATGGAGCTGAAGATAATATATTTGTTTTGTTTTTATTTTACTTTAATATATTAATTAAGTGTAACAGCCTCTGCAGGTGAGATTCAGGTTCATTAGCAGCACTAAACTGCTGAAACAAGGTCAAGAAAGTGAAAGTAAATCACGTGACTTGGCTCAAACAGCAGTTCTGCAGATAAAGATGATTTTTATTGCCCATAAACCTGTTGATTCATTTCTTGCATATTTTTACCTGCATATTGTAAATGTTTCTCTGGCATTGGATACTTTATTTAAAATATATATAACACCTTGGATTTCCTACATTTGCTGTTTATGTGACCAACAACACTCACTTTTTAATCTTCAGTCCTGTTTACTGTTATGCACCAAAAAAAACAAGTTAACTTCCTGGTATGTGGAAACCTACTTGGTTATCTCATATTTAATCACATTTAAGAGGCAGCAATCAGAAATGTTGGACTTCTTTCTTTAAAAAAAAACAACTAAAGCCAATTAATTGATTCTCAAACTAATTCAACATTTGACAACTATTTGATTAATGACTCATGGTTGCAGCTTTCCCATTTATTCATCTCATTAATTGATCTAAATGACTGAACAGTTTGGGTTCAACAAGTGTTTACTTTCATTTTATGGTTGATTATTATTTGGCATTAAATTATTTGTTTGAAATGTTGATGTGTTTCCAAAAGATCACAAATGTCTTGTTTTGTTTAGTTTACTGTCATAGAGCAGGAAAAGAAACCAGAAAATATTCACATTTAAGGATCAAAAGAATGAAAACGTTTTTCTCATAAAAAATTGCTAAAGCTGATTATTATGAAATTAAATAGCAATTAATTGACTAGTCAATGCAGCTCCATGATATAAGTCATCAGTGAGTGAACAACAAGGCTGCAACTAACCTTTATTTTTATTATGAAGCAATCTATCGATTACTTTCTTGATCAGTCAAACAGTTGTTTGGTTTATTATATGTCAGAAAATGTAGAAAAATGTCAATTACAGTGTCTTGTTTTGTCCACAACCGGAAAATATGCAAAATGAAGAAGCTACAATCTGAGAATTTTGGCGTTTTTTTGGGGTTTTTTTTTCGTTAAAAGGTTCCTAAAAATGATTGAGCAGTTGACAACTTGATTGGTGCAGCTCTATTGAAGAATTCATGGAAAAGTGCCCTGTTTAATGGATTGTTCTGGATATGCAAGGAAGCAGAGTGAAGGAAAAAGACATCAGGCAGCATCAGTTGTTTTAGAATCTGACCATAGATCGAACCAGGCCGTCCATCTAACTGATTCTCGGATGTTTTTCATATCATGTTCCTACTGGCCTGTCGAGTCCAGTTGCACTTTTCTTCTGCTTATATATGCTTGTCTTTGTTAGCTTCCTCTCAAACTGTCTTTTAAAGGTGCATTTGTTTAAAAAAAAGCCAAATTCAGTCCCATTTAGAGCTTTATCACTTCAGGTCTACAGGATAGAACAGCTGCTGTATCTGACTGTGTTGTGACGCTACCAGAAGAGCTTCCACTGGTCCACTGACAGACGCTGTCACGGTTTAATGAGGAATTCACCCTGTTTTTCTCAGGTCATATGACTGTACTGTATGTCGAGGTTGTCACGCCACATCAACAGAAGCAGTTTGCATGTGTATATTTTTATAATGAAAATCAGTTTTCCTGGACATCCTTGATGCTGAGGGTTTGCAATATTGACCTTAAAACAGTGCCACCCTGTTCCAGCAGAACACCTAACGACAAAATAAGATCATAAAAACACCGTGCATCGAAGCACGTGCTCCTGCATGTAAAGTGATTTTCAGATTCCGGGAAAGTCTGAACGTCTCTCGCGGCTGCTCTCAGACGTTTTCGTGGCATCGGTCACATGTGCGGAGCTGCTTTAAGGTGGATTTAATGTTAGCATGTTATCACTTCTGAGTAAGTTCGCCTGCACATGTTTCTAATTTACCGAGAAGGCCGCCTGGACTATTAGTGAAATGTGATTATAAGCGATTAGCTCTTCGCTGTGGTGACTGAGACGTGTGGAAATGAAGGGAAAAGCACTAATTACATGATGAGCAGCATCCTGCATTTTCTCCACACGGCTTATCTTATTCATATGGAACACATAAAGGGGGCCTCAAACTAAACAGGATATTTTGTTCCGGATCTATAATCAATATCGTGGTGCATATAAATGTTGTGCATTCCAGCAAACTGATCAAACTTTCCGAAGTTGGTGCGCTATCGTTGATTACTTTAAACACAGGCTAATTTAGGATTTGCTTCACAACTGTATTTGGAGTTTGTTTTCTACTGAGCCAATATTAGCGATCAAGAAAACCAATAAGCAATAATTTACATTTGAAGTAAAAATGAAAATTCTAGCGTTAAGCTGTAAATGATCACAAACTCAAACACAAAATTAGACTGAATTGTTTTACTTAACTGTTTAATTAAAATAAAACCTTGGTTATTACTTGTGACATCAATCAGATATTGATCGAGAACACAGAGCGACTGCAGAACATTTAAAAAATCTGTTTATTTTGTCCTGAATAGGTTTTTTTTTTTTTTTTTTTTTAAAAAGGAGGAAATAAACCAGAAAAGAATCCCATTGAAAAAGCTGGAATCAGAGAATGTCGACGTTTTTTTCCCCCCATTAAAAATACAAAAAAAAATATTAAAAAGTTAATTGATTCTCAGAATAGTCAGAAAAAAAATCCTAGTTGGCAGCTATTTGATTTGTGGACTAATTATTGCACCTCTCCTCAAGATATTATTGATTTGTATTGGTGCAAACAATAATTATTTTTGATTTGTTGTTAATTAATATTAGATCATTTGCTCAATTCATAAATTTGTCATTTGGGTTATAAAATGCAGACACTGGTGGTTTAATTTATGAGTGTTTGTGTTATGAAACAGAGAGTTGCTGAGAAGTTTGAGGGAAAGAGAGACTTTACTAAGAAGTCCTTTTCCTCCCATGAATTCTATTTTTGGCTTATCAAAGATGAAACTTCACATCTAAACATCATCCGTGGAGAAAAGCGCATCAGAGTTGTTCAGTAAATCCTACGTTACACGCTGATGTGGAACAAATAGTAACTGCGCCGAACGTTCTCTGATGCAGTAAAAATCTAATTAAATTCAGCTCCAACCTTAGTGAGCATCTAATAACTGTAATAATGGCCGTGAGGTCGTTGGTGCTGCTCGGATGAATCCTGTGCCGAGTAGTAAAACTGTCCCACTGGGTCTTCGGGGGTCTTTGTCAGAGTTGTTGATGAGAACAGCAGCTCTGATAATGAGCTGGAACAAACACTCTGTCATGTGTTGTGTCTTTATTTAGCTGATCGATGTTCAGATGGACACAACTATCGACATTATCATTAACACACACACACTATGAGTAATCTGTGTCTTACATCTTTAGTCCGGGCCTCGTTTTTCTCTTTTCTCCAGCCCATCTCACTGTTTCTTCCTTGTTTGTTTCAGTGGTTGGGATCGTCTTGAGTCCTCGCTCTGGTTCTGCCGGTCCAGCTGGGTTCTGGACCGGTTTCAGCGATGGCGGACTATCTGCCGGCTGCTCTGCTGGAAGCCTGCGTGGTGGTCGGAGCATCTTGTGACAAACTGCAGGAAGTTCACCAGGTAGTTTCCTTTATAAAATGATTTCGTATTTTAAAGTTTTTCTTCTTAACTCCAGTGTTTCCTTCGGGGGGTCCTCCACACTGGGGGCTGTGTCCGGTCTGCTGCTGGGGGTGCTGTCTGCGGGTCCCTTTGGCCCGGCTGGTTGGAGGGCTCCCTACCTTTGTGTGGGGGTCCGCTTGTCTGTCGGGGTCGGAGGGGGGTCCGGGAGCCAGCGCCCCCCGGTGGTCATGGCCTGCTGCTCCTCCCAGTGTGGACGCCCCCAATGGTAGCATGTCCCATAATCTTCAGTGCCATGCCATATCTCTCTACTGTTAGTGGTGAGAGTGTGTGGTTGTGTGTGTACGTGTATGTGTGGTTGTGTGTGTATATATGGAGGGTAGGAGGGACGGGGTTTTTTTTTTTGTATGAAAAGTGCTGTACAAATAAAATTTGATTGATTGACTGATTGGGGCTACAGGGTGGTCGGTTAGCACTGTTGCCTCGCAGCAAGAAGGTTGCCGATTCGCGTCCCGGTGGGAGCACCGGATTCTGCATGTTCTCCCCGTGCAGCGTGGGTTCTCTCCGGGTTCTCTGGCTTCCTCCCACTCAGTCCAAAAACAGTTTTCAAAGTTGTGAACAGGGGGTGACAGTACATATCTCAGTCATTTGGACCTGAAGAAAACTCTTGCATTAAGGTTAAACGTCTTCAAGAACCA